ACACCCACCCACAGCGCACCCACACCGCACACCCAACCCTCCCCCACACCCGCACCCACCCCCCCGCACCCACACCCCCGCACCTACACCCACCCACACCCCCGCACCTACACCCACCCACACCCTCCTTGTTAAATAGATTCGTGCGTTTAATAAATTAATATGTGGCTGAAGTGCATTTTCCAGGAACTCACATTTGCTTCAGAAAGAATATTTATAAATGGAGTCTGTAATGAAAATTTTTTTAAATAGTGTCTCATAAATGATAGTGACCAGTTAGAGCTGCCGGGCTACTAGAAGTACTGAGAGAAAGGAAGAAGTTGGTTTTACAATTTGTTTGCTGTATCTGTCTAGTGATGGGAGTAGACACGTCAATAATACTATTGGTAAGATCCTCTCGTAGAATCGCGTAGGATATTTTTTAGAATTCTGTCTCGAAGTCTTGCACTACAGATTGTAACTTGTCTAAGTGTTTCAGATCTTATTTTTGAACTTCGCACAAGTATTTCATTGTAAGGACAGTCGACGAAGAAAGAATTTTATTGATCGAATTCACTGAGAAACATTTGTAACTGATTCATAATGTTTCGACAGATACTTTACTGATGTGTAAGACTCATTGTATACATCAAGTAACTGAAGGATTTCGAACTATTAATACATGGTTTGAAATTTATCAGTGCAATAGTTTTCACGAGATATGACGCAACCATCTATCTAATGATGATTTCTATGTTTCGTATTGTAACTGGAATATATTTCTTATGATATTTTTGATTCAAGTATGCTGAGACAAGTTTGCATCAGAAGCTATTATGAAAAAGACCAGCTCATAGTGAAGATAGGCAAAGAAAAACATAGTGCAAAGAATTTAGTACCATCTATCCTAGTAGCTGCTGGATAGATAGCTTTTAAACCGTAGAGCGATGGTATGAAGAAACCTTTTGATACATTTAATCCGTAGGATGAATGCCATACGTTGGCAATATATGAATCCAAATGATGCGAATCATATAGAACCAGTCACTCTCTCTCAGAACTCCTGCTATGTTCATGATACTTCTTTTCTTGTTTTAAAAATCGAAACATTATATTTCAGTAAGAAATTATTGATACTAAAGACATTGTATTTTCACTTTGATATAACTTTTGAAAATAAACAAATGGGGACTTAAGTATTTCATTTATATATCTGTATAGATTTTTCTTTCCTTCATGTTTTGCAATACATGTAGATACTGAGAAACTGTCGATTTAATAGCACAGATAAACATGTATTAGTAAAATTTTATTCATTAGACTATGCTTTTCTCTATATCAACGTTGTAAATTAGTTTGGAGTTGTTATCAATACAGAAACAATGGATATGCACTGTTTAATACTACCTCAGATCTTCATAATTGGTTCTAATGTTTTGAGAATTTTCTGGATATGTTATTACTGAAGTATATTTTAAGCGTATGGATTTTTGGAAAGAATTCACAATTTGATTCAGTTTATTTTTGGCCAGTACTGTTCTTTTCATTGTGCTACACAACTATTGATGTTTCATTCAATATGAAACGATTGTGCACCTAACAGTTTTCAAATAATTAGTTCATCGTAAAGTTGTTGGAGAGGTAGATATTGATTAGGCATGATATGCAGACTTAGTAAATTAGTTGGATGGCCTCAATATTTTCCCCAAAACTAGTTGATCTGCCTGCATACGGCATATCAACAGTCGTTTGGGAAATTTTTATTGTTGATGATAGTTTTCCGGTAGAAGCTGCTTTTCTTAGTTCTTTTCTGAGGGTGTGGGTGTGGGTGTGGGTGCGGATTTTGTTCTCTTCTTTCTCACACCCATTCACATCCACACCCACATTCACACCCACACCCACATTCACACCCACACCCACACCCACATCCCACACCCACACACCCACATTCACACCCACACCCACATTCACACCCACACCCACATTCACACCCACACCCACATTCACACCCACGCCCACATTCACACCCACGCCCACATTCACACCCACATTCACACCCCATACACACCCGTACCCACACCCCACACTCACACACCACATTCACACCCCCCACACCCACACCCACATCTACACCCCACAATACATTTAAAAATTTATGTCCTATTATAGGAACAACCATACATTCTGATGAATGGCCAGCTTATAGATCGCTGCGAAATGAACCTGATTATTTCCATCTTACTGTAAATCATTTCCATCTTACTGTAAATCATTTCCTTCATTAGGTTGATCCCCGAACAAAAGTTCATACTCAAAATATCGAAAACAGTTAGATGCGTATAAAAGTTAGACAAAAAAGACAATGTGGCATACACCATTCTTTATTAAATTCATACTTACAAGAGTATATGTGGCGTCAACTATTTGGAGAAGAACCTCTGAAAAATCTTGTTCAACAAATCACTCCATTGTACCCTGTGTAACATTTTTTGTGCTTTTCTTCAATTTTTTTAAAACATAAGTACTTTAAGAAATGATATAATTTTTGAATAGCTCAATATATCACTGTCATCTATCGTCATCATTCATGTAATTTTGATCATTTCTATATGTTTTTTCTTTACAGCATTCTCGTTGGTTACATTTTTCGACGAATATATTTTCTTTCCTGTTCTCTGTTATGTCTAAAGTACACTAATACCTATCGATGTTTAGTATTTTTCTTTCCTCTGGAACAAATATTCCTCATGCCAATATTTATTTTTATAGACAATACTGAAAGAAAGAATCACAAAACATTCCATGTTGCATGTCACAAGTCCTTATTGGCTGATTATACATCATTGGTTTGTATCTATAAACAAGACAATATTGTGTTTTTATATTACAAATTTATTCTGCAATCATGCCAAGAACTCTTGAGCAAATAAAACAGATGGAATCTGTCGTTGAAGAAATGACTTATAATGAATCCTTAGGTGAACAACTTGTGGAATACAACGAATCTAACAATGAATTAAATCAAGTATCAACTAATGAGCTTATTGAAAAATATGTTGGAATTTATTTCGCGTCTGTTTATTATTAAACTATTCAAAGAAATATATTAGTCTTTCGTTTTTCTAGGGCTAATTCATCTTCCATTTGTCGAAATTTCACACCAAAATTAGCTGCATATTATAAAGGATATAATAGTGCACTCGGAAATAAACTAGAAATTGTTTTTATTTCTTGTGATGAAGATCAAACAATATTTGACGAACATTTCAAGAAAATGCCATGGAAAGCAATACCTTTCTCTGGTATGTAGAATATATTTTTTTTCAATTTAAATATATTAGAAGATATTTTCAGTGAACGTATAAAAAACAGTTTTATTGGCACTCAGGATTTCAAAAAGGATCGTATTTTTATTTAAAAAAAAAGAACATTGTAAATGAAACAAGAGATTTTGATCGGATTTCATGGATTTAGATCGAGATCGTGCAAAAACATTGTGTCAAAAACTTTCTGTTGAAGATCTTCCGACTCTACTTATGGCTGATCCTGGACGTCGGTTATTTAAGGAACAAGGTGTCGATTATGTACGAGATATTTATAATAGTGGAGCTATACGCACTTGGTCTAAAGGAAAACGTTTATTTCGATCACGTGAACCACATGAAGGTGAATATGTTTGGAATGGTATTATTTGTCATCAATGTTATATGAGTCCAATCATTGGTTCACGATATGGTTGTTTAGAAGCAAAGTGTTATGTAGATTTATGTGAAACGTGCTTACAAAAAACTGAACATGAACATTCTCTCGTTGGATATTTAGTACCTAAACAACAATATTCATTCGAACAACTTTTCAAATCAGTTCCTTATTTACTTAATCCTAATAGTGAAGAAAAGATTGAAACAAAAACAATATGGGAAAATGGTATTAAATGTGTTGGATTTTATTTTTCTGCTCATTGGTGTGGTCCTTGTCAAATCTTTACACCGAAATTGGCAGATGTTTACAAAGAAGCACAAAAAAATTCTCTATCTTTTCGTATAGTTTTTGTATCATCTGATAACGATGAGGAATCATTCAATGAATATCATTCAAAAATGCATTGGCCTGCTGTGCCATTAGATTCAACTCATCTTATCAAAACGTATTTTCAATCTTCTTGTAAATATTTATTTAATTTCTTAATATTACGAAATAATTATTGTTCTTTTCTCTGAAGATATTCCAAGATTGTTCATTGTTTCATCCGATGGAAAAATTCTTTCACATCAAGGTGTTGACGATGTTAAACGTAAAGGTATAGAAGCTTTGAAAACATGGACACAAGGAGAAACAGTGGCTCCTCCAGCGGAAGATGAATTTCAATGGGAAGATATATCATGTAATGGATGTAGCATGAATCCTATTATTGGTCAAAGATACTATTGTTCTTCATGTGATAATTATGATCTATGTTCAACATGTGCAAAGAAAGGACATGAACATCCACTTGAATTGGTACCACAATCGACTGAAGATGAAGATGATTGAAGTGACAAAGATAAAATTTTTATAAATTCATCAAAGATGTCATCGTTTTCAGCATTGTCGACTATCATTTGATGCTGAGATGCAACAGTACTTACCCTCTTGCATTTTCAATAATGAAGTAGATTTTAGTTTTCTTATACATTTATCAATAAAATCTCTTTTAACTTCCTTTATATCGTCAAGAGAATCATGTTTAAGTAAATATTCATTGATCAAGGTCTGTTCGAAAGTCGTTTAACAACTGTTTAATTTTAGCAATAAAAGTGAGGATGAGTTTGTAGATGTGGGTAATAGTCTCCTTTTCATCTACACCCACACCCACACCCCACACCCACACACCCACACCCACACCCACCCACACCCACACACCCACACCCACACCCACACCCACACACCCACACCCACACCCACACCCACACCCACACCCACACCCACACCCACACCCACATCCTTGATTATTCAAAAAACTTTCAATATGTTGATCAAGAATATTAGTTAAAACATTTTCAAGGGTATTTGTTGCTTCAGAACATTCCGTTTTTTGTTTTCTAAAATAAAAATATTATTTTAAACAAATTATTTATTTTTCATTCATTTCTTTTTTTACTTGACTTTTTTTGATTTTTGTTTTATTTGTTTTGATTTAAAAGATTTTGTTGATTTTTTTTGGTAAAGTTGATCCTTGAAAAAAATTATTTTCTAAAAAGAAAAAAAGAAAATGAAAATTTAAAATAAAGATAAAAAAATAATAAAAACCATCAATAAATTCAAATGCTGAATGAACTTGTCCATGTTGAAGCATATAATCAATTAATCTTTTAATAAATGGATCATGAGTAACTGTTTGTGCATTACAAAAAATGCATAAATGTCTACGTGCACGTCTTATAGCAACAGAAAGAAATACAGCTCCATATATTTATCTTGTGGCACGGAGAGGATCCTTTAATCCGCTGCAATGCCGATGTGTAGCAAAGCCTCGATTATCGAGAACGTCGTAAGATTTCTAGAGAAAACTTAACTAGAGTAGAGCTCTCAAGTGAGAGATCAATCGTGGCTAGATTTATTTCCTGTACTAAAATATCCATAAGTGCAGAAAAAAATCTGTCTTGGCCTTCAA